GTAAAGTTGCTAATACTTACATATTTCAGATGATAAGCCATATTTGAGAGGTCGATGAATGATAGGCGAGCGTTTAGATGTCCTGCCCGATGTACTGTATAGACTAGCCGTTAACTATCTGTTATTCACGGAGGGGGCATTAGGGGGTATATATTAGGGGGCAGCCCTAAAGTTAAAGTCGCGTGAACCGGAAGTTGCTGCCGACTTTATTTCAGTGTAGTGACGTATTTCCAGCTGAAACGGAATATTGAATAGAGGGCATGGTTTTATGTTTGCGCTCCTCCTCTCTGTCTCTCACTCATAGCAATCTAACGGTTGGAGGGGTGTGTTTAAGGATATTCTGCCCAAGCCGTCAAACTGATGTCATCAGAAAAGGAATGCCATTCTAGAGTGGAAGTAAATGTTCAGATTTTGATTAAAGATTACGAAGGCAAACATTTTTTTTCAGCGGATTAACTTGCACGGATTCATTGTTTACATCAAGACTAGCAATGTGCGCTAGTAAAGTAAATAAAGTCAATTTTGATTTAATGCTGGCTTTAACAAACACAACTTTTGATTTTAATTGTTCATTCTTAGTTCATGTTAACTACACTAACTAATATTAACTAATGAACCTTATTGTGAAGTGTTACCATTTATATAAATGTATATCTGTATTCAATAAAGCCACAATACCAACTTTGAGAAAACAGTGTTTATTATTTGTTTAAATACAGTGGGTTTTTTTTGTTTGTTTGTTTGTTTGTTTTTTAATTTCCTAAAAAGTAGCAGTTTAGATCATAGGAGATTTCCGGCCGACAGCAAAAATGTATTTTGCCTATGTCACAATATGAGGTAAATCCGGCGCTGTACATGATACTGATTTTTGTTGCCAAATTGGTTTGAAACAGTTGTTGAATAAACAATTAACCTGAACTATTATGCCTGTCTATCTGTTCGAATGAGAGTTTTATTGATCACTGAGAGAGTATTGACTTGGTATGATGTTGGTTCAATATAAAATATATTAAAAAAATTAGGGCTGTCAATCAATTCAAATGTTTAATCTGATCTGTTCGAATGAGAGTTTTATTGATCACTGAGAGAGTATTGACTTGGTATGATGTTGGTTCAATATAAAAATATATTAAAAAAATTAGGGCTGTCAATCAATTCAAATGTTTAATCTGATTAATCACATCCTTTGTCTGTGATTAATCGCGATTAATCGTACACTTCATGATATTAAGCATAGACCATTTATCTTGTTTCAAATGTTTATTTTGTGATCTTTTGCTATATCCAGCAAAGTAAACCAAAAGATTGAAGGGTGATTCTCAAAAATCTATACTTTCTGCAAGCTTTTTTCAAGATAAATTTAGATGTCTTTCCAAAAAAGGACACTTAGAAACTCCAAAAGAAGAACCAAATGATATAAGGAGCCCATATAAGCGCATATGAAAGAACAAAAATCTGAATTTTATAGTATGTGTACAGTGCAACAGCAAAGAGCTTTTTTACATTTTAGAGAAGTCAAGTTGCGATACCGAACAGGACCACATTGAGATGCCAAAAAAAAAAAAAACTAAACCAACCGCCTGCTGACTGCATATATCTACTACAGTACACGGATCCATTCCGTATACCTAAACACAGCAACATAAACATGACAAATCAAAACATTATCATGAATGTGTGTGGAAACAACGTGAATGTACGGAAATGTCTGTGCCTGTGCATAAATACAATGTGCGATCACTCCCATATTCGCGCACTTGAACGTCATTGGCTATTGCAAAGCATAGCGTTATACAATCAGGCTTCAGTATTTCAGGAGAAAGGTGTTTCCCCAATGCGTCGAGATGGTCCTCACACAAGATCCAGGGGGCGAGGTTGGATCCAGATCCAACTCCTCCCACCTTACATATACCTAAACTTACCCGTCTCCACCCCCTGATACCTAAACCCACCCGTCTCCACCCCCTAGATGTGGATCCAACCCCACCCCCTGGATCTTTGTTCTGCAGTGAGGGGCTACTGGCTCAGATTCGGTTTTCTGTCAACATGACTCAGCCTCCTCTTGCGGACTAGAGTTCCCTCTATGCTTCCCTTTATGCTTTGTGTAACTATCATTCACCAATTAGGAATGAGTGTGTTTTTGTTGGTCTGTTTTTTTTTTTTCTCCTTCTCAGCTTCTCTGCCACTTTCATCTTTTTCCATCTTTTGTTCCTAGCACTTATACAAATTCCCGCTCGTTATCCCATCAAAGCTTAGCCACCTTTGTGTTTCCATTACCGAGCAATAGATGAGTAAGAAAACACTCGCCCCCTCGTCTGCCTGGAGAAATTAAAAAAATAAACGATTAAACACATTTGGCTGATTTTTGGCACGGTTCACTCCTCCATTTGACTAGTTTCAAACTGAAAAACACTTAGCAGTTATTATTGCTTTTTACTATTTCTGAGCGCTGTTGTGTTATAGTGTTGTTAGAGAAAGCCTACACCTGCAGTCAGCTGAGAGTTTGCAGAACATTAATGTAATTGTCTGCAGAACCTTTTTCGTCTTTAAACTGCATTAGTAACTTGAGAGTAACACTGTGGTTGTCTTTAAGTAGAGTCTAACTCCATTTACAGTGCAATGCAAGGTACGTGTTTAGTTGAAGCAAGCAGAATATTACACCTCCATTGTGTATTTATTTACAGTGTAGCAGTCCCTGTTTGATGTAAATAGGAATGATTTTGTTTTAGCTCAGCTGAAAAAATCTGCTTTTCACTATGTGGTGCATTGAGAGACAAACTAATTGGACTAAAATCAGTAAAAGGTCCCCTAATAAAAACTGAAGCATTTGTGTTAGAAAGCTTGCCGAGGTAAATTAAGTGAAATATGTTCATCTGAAACACACAAGTGTGCATGTAAAGAAAAAAGGAATCTAACGACCCATTTCCTGGTG